AGATCTAAAAGATGACTGAGTGAATTATAGAATGTGGATTGAAGAGAAATCAATCAAAATAATAATAATAATAAATAGTTTTTTACTAATTTCAGATGCTGGACAAACAAATTTTAAGGGCTTTTAAAAGCGTGGTTACGAATTACGTTTTTCTTTTAAAAGCAAATTTTCTTTAAAAGCGTGGTTACAAATCACGCTTGTTTTCAAATCGCACTTTCACTTAAAGATGAAAACGCTAATAGGAACAACGTTTTCTTAATTAAAAGCATATTTTGTAACCACACTTTTATGATTTTATTCATTTTGTACGCCTGGGCTAGAAACATGATGAAAGCGTGTTTTGTAAATACGCTTTAGCTTATTCTGGGAGTTTCGGCCAAACTTTGCTTGTTTGGGAAATAGCTTAGTAGGGAGGCCTAATTTGGGAAAAGCTTCTAGTAGATTCAGATGTGTTGGTTTTTGTAGATTTTGTAGAGGATTTGATTTGTTAGTTTTTCGAGCCTTTGGGGCCATTCATTTTTGTATACTTTGCATCATCTTGATACTTTTTTTAATAAAGTTCCGTTATGAATAAAAAAAAATTGAATTTTTTTTTTTTTTCTAATACTAATGTAGTACTTACTGCTAGTACTGCTGTTCTTTTCTTTTCATTTCATATATTTGGAAAGTAGATATCTGTGATTTTATCATTTTAGTCTTTCTTTGTTAGCTCATGTTTCATGCGTGATTGAACTGCGCTTCTCTTTGTTTAGTTGACTTGACAGTTATAATCTATTGGGAGCTTGGATGAAATCAAAAGATTGTGTAAATGGATTCATTATGTTGTATGAATACGGGTCAATATTTGGATCTTACGAGATGAAATTAAACCAGCTTTTCATTATTAGTTATAGTATTGTGTAATACATATGTAAAATTTAACAGGATGGACTTTTGCTTCTGGAGGCAATGCAAAATAATATTTGCTGAAATGCCCAAGCACTCAGCATTCATAAAAATAAGATTTTAAAATAAGATTTCAATGATGAATAAAGACTGCATAGTACTTCATATTTTGCATTGAGACTCCTAAATCCTTCTTTTAGTTACCAGAAAAAGAAAAGAAACCTGTATTACAGTGTTCTTCGCATCTGTAAGGAGTTCATGTTATGAAAGCATCTGTTGCTTATAGAAGTTTTAATGGTCAACCAGAACTCTCTGCAATCAATAAGTTTAATTCACTAAAAGCATCCGCTAGCTGTATTGTATAAGTTCTGGTATGAACTGTCCTCGTGTAAAAGGTAATGAATCCCCTTGTGTAGTAACTGCATGTTCTCACTCTCTTTTATTTTTATTCCACATATGACTAACAAAATATGATGGTTATTAATGGATCACCAATGGAGCTGATAGCATAATATGTTTCATTACAAGTAGAAAGTGGACCTGGATTGTTGAAGAGTTCAATTTTTTGCATACAAATTACAGTAGAGCTTCCACCACAAAAGGGCAACATTTTGGCATAAATGATTGAGGTTTGGAGTATGCAAAATGTCCTCCACTTGCAATTTCTTCTTGCAATCTGTTGTAAAACCCATTTAATTTGAAGATGTTGGAGGTAGGGAGTGAATAAGGGCTTAGGAATCACTATACTGTTCTTGGATAAACCCTGAAAGGGTCGAGTATTGAGTGTAACTGTAAAAATGTTGATGTTGTTAGAATAATAATTTCGAACATGATGTTTGACCATCTTTGAGCCTAAATAAAAGTGGGATCCACATGTCATTTTTAAGGCGGTTTCACATTGTAATAGGCTTACTTCTATATGTAATTTTGATTGTAAATAGAGTGAATATTTGAATTATTTCTGGATTTCCAATTTTATTGCTGGCAACAGCTGATCTCTTTGGGAGCACTGTCAATGCTTGCTTATGATTGAACAAAGTCTTCCTTGTTTTGCTTCCAATGCTTCTCCTCCCTGTCTTTTACACTGTGTTTGGTTGGGGGATTTGGGAAGGGAAATGGAAAGGGAAATGGAAATGAAAGGAAAAGAAGAAAGAATTAATAGAATTCCAAATCCCAACTATGTTTGGTTGTGTTGGTTATAAAATAGAATTGATGTCCTAAAAGGTATCCTATTTCTTTATTTATTTCTCACCCCCTTTCTTTTCCCATATATTTTTTATTATAACCAAACATAAATAGGATTACATTTCTCATTCCTTTTCCAAATCCCACCTCAAAAACTCCAACCAAACACAGCATTAGGGTTTGAATAGCAACTTTTTTTTGAATTCTAGCAGATTTACTTTAATTTTATATTTTAATTAAATAACATTGTTTGAGCTCTTCAAACAGAAATAAATAGTCTGGCCGGTTTAGTTTGTCGGAACCTAACTATATTGCCGCAACCTGACATTGTTTTTCATTTTTTTTTAAAAATATTTTTTTGTTAATCCCATTGTTATAATAGTTTTTTTGTTTGTTGTTTAAGGAAACTCTTCAATGGAGTGAGGTGTAAATTTTAGGCAAAGGGACAAAAAGCAGGAGATCTGGTTACATTACATTGTGATGTTGGAGAAAGCAACCCATATTTTTCTATATATATTAGAACCTCCATTCCCTAAAAGAGGGAATAAATTGGCATCATAAGAAAATGGTCTTATTTGGTGCTGTTTATCAGAATTACTTATGATTTTTTTTTTTATAAAAAAATCCACGTGTTTGGTACAATTTTTGCTTTAGTTATAAGACTAAAATATTTAAATAAATTTTAAAAAAAAAACAATTATCTAAAAGTTGAGATAAGACTGTTTTTAACTTGTATTTTTTAATTATAAACTGTTTAGCAAAAGTTAAAAAGCCACCTCTTTTCTTTTTCTTTTTCTTTTTGTGTGTTTATTATTATTTTTTAAAAATTTAGTAAAAAAGTTCTTATTCTTTTTTCCGTCTTTCTAGTTTAAAAGAATCAAAAATAAATAAATAAAATAACTAAAGATAATTTTTTTTGTTGCTATGTTTACTTTTTCATTTTTTAATTTTTAGGATCTTTTAAGATCCAAAAGTGAAGTATTTTGGATATTTTTTAAAATAAAAAAGTTCACTAAAAATAAAATGCTGTTAAATAAGTAATTGGGAAACCAGCACAGCCTGAGAAAAAGCTATTCCAAATAGGTTTTAGGTTTTGTTTGGCATGAAATATTTTTAGTTTAAAAGTTAAAAAATATTATTAAAAAATCAAAAAAACTTATAACATATATCAAAAAGTTAAAAATTTCCTTTTCTCTTTACTTTTTACACATTTTCACAAAAAATTAAAAAATTATTCCAAACATATTTTTGCTTGGTTCCATTTTTCCAAAAACACTTTTCAGAAAATTCTACTTTCTTATTTTTCCTATTTTTTTTGTTTTTATTAAATTCTTTTAATATTTTAAGCAATTTTTTACTTTTTAAACACACCTAACATAAATACACCTAAAAAGTTTTAAAAAAAAGTTGTAAAAAAAATCTTTTAAAAATTCACAAAATACCAAAAATATAAAAATTCAGTATATTTTTTATATTTTTACGTATTTATTAATTTTTTAAAATATTTTTTTCACAATTTTTTTACTTTTTAAATACATCTAAGTAAGGTGCATCTAAAAAAGTAAAAAGGGTATTTAAAATTTTAAAAATATTCACTAAAAACAAAAAAAATACGAAAACTAAAAAACTCAATTTTCAAAAAATTTAATCTAAAAAACTCAAACTAAACATATTAAATTTAGTTTTTTTTTATCTTATATGTTAGTAAAAAATTAAAAAATTACTAAAATAATTTATTTTCAAATGAGATCTTAATAATCTCTGTGAGAGAGAGAGAGAGAGTGTGAGTGAGTGAGTGAGTGTGAGTGTATGCGGTCTGTGAAGAAGGGGATGTGAGCTAAGAAGCTTTTTCATCATCAAAGTCCAGCTTTGAAAGTAAACTGATGAATCAGGACACAGATGCATCCCAAGAGGCAAGGAGTTGTAAACAAACTGACCGACTTGTGCTTTTGGAATCTTGTACTCCCCACTCCCTCCCTGCATACATTACAGTCCTAAGCCTCTACTTTCATCATTTTTTCACTAGTAGCAATGATTTGTCATTTTACTAATCCTACTAAATACTTCTCCTCTTTATGAGCACCGGCTAAAGAGAAAAATTCCTTAATTTTTTTTTATAAATAAAATAAAAAAGTAGTTGTGAACTGTGACTCTGTTTTCCACCCCGTTAGAGAAACAAGAAGCTTCCTTTATTTTTATGCTTGGCGAAAACTTGGTTGGGTAGTTGAGATTTTTTATTTTTTATTTTTATTTTTGTTTTGATACCTAGAACACTCCCAAGATAAGACTATTAAGATTCATCATTACAAGCCAAATTGAAAAAATATTAAGATTCATCCTTACAAATCAAATTGAGAGAAGCTAGCCGATTCATCTAAACCGTCAGACTTTCACTTTAATAAGGGATTCAAACCCTGATCAGTAAAGAGAGGAATATACTCCCTTACACTTACCGACTAGAATGACTCTTTAGTAGTAAAGTTGAGATTTCAACTTGTGTATTAATGTCATCTTTTCGTCATTTATTATTACAAATTTAAACATAAAATATCAAGAACACGTACAGGGGCATTAAATATACAAATTTATACATTTCACTTTTCACCTTTTAATTGAAATCTACTTTTAACTCAAATTTCAAATAGTGAAATAACAGAAAGATTACACGAGTTGAAATTTAAGAACATTGTGATTACAAAATAAAGAATCAAAATAAAATTTAAGTGAAAGTTCTAGGGTAAAAATATAATTTACTCTTCCATGTTATTTTGGATACTTTTTGGCTGTCGGATTCTCAAGTTTGGTTACATGAAAACCAGATAAACATTCTGTTATCCTTCAAAAAAATTTCCTCTTTGGGTGAAAAAGATATCTTCTGCTTCAACTATTAGCTATAAAAACAAACCACAAGATAAATAGAGAAATTAAAATATAAAAAACAAAAAACAAAAAAAAACCACTCAACAACTAATTTCTCTACATGGTTAAAGGATCACTCTCTATCCAAAACTCTCATCCTCAATACATTTCTACCCCACGATCCGACAAAAATATCAAAATACAAAAAAATTAAAACACAATTATATGAAGACGAGAATTTTGAGTCAGAAGATCCCGTGCTGCTTTCTACATGTATCATCATAACTACCTATGACTGCAAAAGTCCAAAAGCTTTTTCCTTCCTTCAACAATTTCATCAAAGAAATCATCAAGCTGCCCAACAATATTCTCAGCCCCAGATCTCAAAATTCCAAAACTGCCCTTCAAAGTCTCCACTCTCTCCCTCATCCCAACCTCTTTTTCCCACTCCACCACCACCCCTTGTGAGCTCCTCCTCTCCAACTCCCCCCTCAGCTCCTCAACCGCCGTCTTCGATCTCCGAAACTCGTACAAAAGAATCCCCGGCTGCCCGCCGCTGATCCGCCCGATCTCCGCCGCCACTCTCTGATGCAACCTGGCTGTTGATATCATCAACCCAGATCCAAAAAACAAGCACCCTTCAAACCCACCTCTCAGAAAATTTGATTCAGGCCAAGAACAGTACACCAATCCACATAGCAAGATCATGAGCAATAGTGAACTAACATTCCTCATTGCATAGAGAACTCCCCTGAATCCATTGAACCCATTGAGCTTTGATTCAACAGAGACTTTCTCATCAAAACAGAGTGATAGTGGCTCAATTCTTGTCTCCAGAATCCCCGGCCGCCCGCCGCTAATCCGCCCGATCTCCGCCGCCACTCTCTGATGCAACCTGGCTGTTGATATCATCAACCCAGATCCAAAAAACAAGCACCCTTCATACCCACCTCTCAGAAAATTCGATTCAGGCCAAGAACAGTACACCAATCCACATAGCAAGATCATGAGCAATAGTGAACTAACATTCCTCATTGCATAGAGAACTCCCCTGAATCCATTGAACCCATTGAGCTTTGATTCAACAGAGACTTTCTCATCAAAACAGAGTGATAGTGGCTCAATTCTTGTCTCCATCAATGCCCTGTTCTCTTCTCCCAATCCCACAGCCTCTCTGCAACACCCCGAGATTGCCCGGATCACCTGTTTCAAGAATTCAATCAAGAAAAAAATAATTATATTTATGTTTTTTTTAGTAAGGATCAAGAAAATAATTATGATGACTTAAATAATTAAAATACAGAAAAACAAGAACACAAAGATATACGTGGTTGGGCGAGAGACCTGGCGACAGAGGTGAGGAGTGAGATAATGATGAGTGTCTAGTGAGGATGTTAGGTTGAAGCCTGCAGAGTGGTAGTTTTCCATGCTGGTTATGGCTGATTTGAGGACATGACAGACTTCCCAGAGCTTGGAACTCTCATCCATGTACTCATCAAGCCACTTTTCACCCACTGGCAAGTGAAGTTTTTGGACAAGAAGAGTCAATTGGGTATGGCATGATCTGAGAAGAGAGAGGGCCCTTTGGAGGAATTGAATTGACATGAAGTTATTTGAAAGAAAGACTCGTTCGAGGTCATCGATTCCTCGGGTTAGAAAGGTGTAGAAGCCATTGACAGAGTTGGAAGAAGAAGGATCCATCATGAGAAGAGAAAAGAAAAGAAAAGAAAAAGGTTGGTTGAGAATTGAGTGAGGGAGGGGAAGGGATAGATATTTAAATTGGGAGAAGGGGAAAAGGGAATGAATGGAAGGAGGGAATGTATTGGAAGCTCGGGTTTCTAAGGTTGGAATGGATTGTTGGGAGCAATGATGTGTGTTTCCTATGATGCGTGTTTCCTATACAGTGGAAAAGATGATTGATAATCTGTCATTTTTATTGTTTAATGAAAAAAAAAAAAAAAAGGAAAAGAGAGAAGAGAGTAAAACCAAACAAATCAAAAATTATGAAATTTTTAAGAGTTTCCTTTCAACTTTTTCCTTTTCGTTTTGTGTTTCCTTTATAGTTTGAAATGGTTTTTTTATTCATTAAATTATATATAGTTAACAGTCATATTATATAGTTAACAGTCATATGCATTAATAATAATAAAAATCTTCAAAGCAGACTTTATAGATGAATCAATAATTTAATGATAAAATAAAAAAAATGGCAATAGAAGTAATAATAGCAAAATTAACATGAAGTATATGTATATATTAATAGTGAGTGCAAATGCGATGTGTTTATTATTTTGTATTTGAATTTTTGGACAATTTGATTAGTGAGAAAGTAAAATTGAATATGAAAATTATCTAGCATTTCATTAATTGAATTATAGGTTAGAAAAAAAATGAGTTGACAATTTTATGAAGGCTCTTGTAAGAGAAAAAAATGTGATGCCAAATAAATTATACATTTTATATAATAGAATAGTTGAGGGTAGGAGAGAGAAAGATAGTAAGTTGGGCTACAACCTAATTATTTCTAGGATACTTACGTGTAGGTCTTTATAAGTGGACTTGTTGTCTGTCTTATGAAAAAAAAAATCATAAAAAAAGGTTACTAATTGTAAGTTTTAACGACAATTTATAAAAATCATGATAAAAAAAGTCACTAATTGTAAATTTTTAGCGACATATATAAAAAAATGTCATAAAAAAATTATTTTTAACAATAATTTTACAAAGATTTATTTTTAATAGGACTTGATGAGAATTAAGTTCAACTATTAGGACCTATTGATAGTTTATCCTTGTTTTTCTAATGACGTTGGATGTTGTATTAATCTAATTCAAGAGACTTATTAATATCAAAAAAAAAAAAGAAAGAAAGAAGAGAGAGAGAGAGAAGCAAGTGGTATGTTTTAGATCTTGCTGCCATTGGTCTATGATTGAGTTCATTGGGTTGTAAAAAGTTTGACCAGATTTACTGGAATTGTGCTCTGCTTTAACTAGTACTACCAATTTTTCCATTTGGATATGAGTTCCCCTTTTGAATTGAGTGCTCTTTGGTTTCTTCTTTCCTCTTTTTCTTCCTCGAGCAACCGACTTTGGTCCTTCGCTTCCCCTCTCTCCTATTGAAATTTGTGGGTTTCCTAGATATTTGTTTAATTTGATTTTGTTGTTTTTTTAAACAAATGGAATGATGGGGTTCCTTGTATTTGTGTTCTACACCTTTTTACAATGCAGGAATCGGTCTTTTTAGGCCACCCAAACCTACTTTCCATCTATTCCTCCTTTTATTTTGGTCATACAATGTATAATGCTCTCTCAAGACTAGAATAAATCAACAAGAAGCATATAAATATAAAAATTAATCACATAATTTGACATAGAATGTAAATAAATAAATAAGATCGATTTTTTAAAAGTAAATCTCGTTGGATATCCAAAATAAAAAGAATATTTCACTAGCGAGACGTGTAAAATTTTATTTATTCATATGTACTTTATATCTAATTATGTGATCAATTCTCATATTCATAACAAAATTGACAAACTAACCGACATGATGTTTGATGTAAGCCATTTGATTGGTAGACCTTAGGCCCCATTAAACATGTTTTTTTATATGATCACCTCTCTTGTTAATATTCCAAATTTAGGCCATGATATGATCAATTTGCTAATGATTTTGATTGAACGACAATGGAGCGGCAATACTAGTTGCAAGGATCTATTTTGTTAATGCTCTTAATGAGCATCTAATCTATTCTTCTTTTGCAATTTTTTTTAATATTTTATTCATAATATATATATATATATATATATATAGATGGGGGATGAGGGGACCAGGAAATCTTAATTATATGAAGAGGTTGATGCCGTGTTTATTTATTTGATTTAGGAGAGTGCTCGTGGGTTTTTGAAGCATGAGACACTTGAGAGTATGTTGGTGTTTTTGAGATCTCATTGGGAAATGAATTATAGAACTAAATATACATTGGGAAAATTTATATACTAACATATAAAATAAAAAAATTTATTTTACTAATTGATGTGATATACAATTAAAAAATATATATTTAAAATGAGACTCACTAAAATAATACGATAACATTAACTCAATACCACATCAATTTGTGAAATAAATTTATAAGTTTAGTTTATTAGTTTAATATTATATCATGCACTCTCTTTATTTTTGCTCTAAAATAATATTATAATCATTTTAAATTTGTTAATATATACCCTAAAAAGTACACGTTTGACAAAAAAATTATAAGATAAATTTTTTTTCTCTCCTTTCACTTCTTGTTTCTCTCCCCTCTCTAAAATCTTCCAACTGTCACAGTTATTTTAGTTGTATTTAAGTTTGTTTTAATAATTGATTAAAATAATTAAAAAATTATTTTATATATCTTTCCTTAAAAAATTATTAACTAAAATATTTAATTTTCAAAACAACCCATTAATTATTTTAAGATGTAAAATTGATATTTAAGAATGTGAATGAATATATAAATTTTGTTTTAATATTTTATGCAAGTAATAATGTGATGTAAATAGGTAATCATTATTGTCTTGAATTTTTGCTTTGTGTCATGCTTTAGCAACTTTTGTGCTGTTGTGTCCAAGTCAATGCAAGGTCATTCCATGCTCTGCATAATTTGAACCATGGAAAAGGAACATAATTGATTAACAAGATCTTCCAAGGAAATTTTTGAAAGATTAATAAGATTTAATGATATAAGATATTATTAATGTGATACTATTAAATAAGAGATGTAAAATAAATTATGTTTATTTATATACTAATGTAATAGTATTAATTGGTCGAAATTAAATCTATAAAATTAAATAAAAATTTTAATATATAAAATATGTTTTTACTTATTTTTATAAAATAGGGATAAAATAATCTTCTCACTTACAATCGCATAGCATAGGATAAATTGTCCCACCCCAGCCCACTCCTTTGGAACTGCTGATCGCACTCTGTGAGCACAATTCTTTGCCGTTTGGCAAGTGGGTTGGAGGTGGATTAAGACTAAGAAATTACAAGAAGAAAAAATATATTGGGGTGATTTGAGAAGTTAGCTAAAAGTTAATTTTTAATTTTTAATTTATTTTGAGTCATATTATTTTTTATATTTTTTACACACACAAAGATAAAATAGTCAAAAAATCAATTTTTAACTAACTTTTCAAATTATCTCATTAAATAAGTTAATAAGACCAAATGTCACATCTAAATCATAATTATTTCACTTTTTCTTTTGCAAAAAAATTTAAAAAGTCAAAAAAATAAATTCCAAACAAACTAATTTAACAAAGCTAAATTAATTAAAAAACCAAAAAATTAGACTAACAAAGGTTCATCCCAAACAAACAATACCATGTTTTTTAGCTAAACATGATTTATGTGGTGTTTTAGGAAGTTGATAAAAAAATGATTTTTTAATTTTTTAGCTTTTTTGATGACTTTTTTGACAAAAAAACTGGATTGTTTTAAGTAAAAAAGCTGACTTTTTTGACTAAAAAAACTAAAAAAACTAAAATATTTAATTTTCAAAACAACCCATTAATTATTTTAAGATGTAAAATTGATATTTAAGAATGTGAATGAATATATAAATTTTGTTTTAATATTTTATGCAAGTAATAATGTGATGTAAATAGGTAATCATTATTGTCTTGAATTTTTGCTTTGTGTCATGCTTTAGCAACTTTTGTGCTGTTGTGTCCAAGTCAATGCAAGGTCATTCCATGCTCTGCATAATTTGAACCATGGAAAAGGAACATAATTGATTAACAAGATCTTCCAAGGAAATTTTTGAAAGATTAATAAGATTTAATGATATAAGATATTATTAATGTGATACTATTAAATAAGAGATGTAAAATAAATTATGTTTATTTATATACTAATGTAATAGTATTAATTGGTCGAAATTAAATCTATAAAATTAAATAAAAATTTTAATATATAAAATATGTTTTTACTTATTTTTATAAAATAGGGGTAAAATAATCTTCTCACTTACAATCGCATAGCATAGGATAAATTGTCCCACCCCAGCCCACTCCTTTGGAACTGCTGATCGCACTATGTGAGCACAATTCTTTGCCGTTTGGCAAGTGGGTTGGAGGTGGATTAAGACTAAGAAATTACAAGAAGAAAAAATATATTGGGGTGATTTGAGAAGTTAGTTAAAAGTTAATTTTTAATTTTTAATTTATTTTGGGTCATATTATTTTTTATATTTTTTATACACACAAAGATAAAATAGTCAGAAAATCAATTTTTAACCAACTTTTCAAATTATCTCATTAAATAAGTTAATAAGACCAAATGTCACATCTAAATCATAATTATTTCACTTTTTCTTTTACAAAAAAATTTAAAAAGTCAAAAAAATAAATTCCAAACAAAACTAATTTAACAAAGCTAAATTAATTAAAAAACCAAAAAATTAGACTAACAAAGGTTCATCCCAAACAAACAATACCATGTTTTTCAGCTAAACATGATTTATGTGGTGTTTTAGGAAGTTGATAAAAAGTTAATTTTTTGATTTTTTAGTTTTTTTGATGACTTTTTTGACAAAAAAACTGGATTGTTTTAAGTAAAAAAGCTGACTTTTTTGACTAAAAAAACTAAAAAATTAAAAAACTAACTTTTTACCATTGTTCCCAAAAAATCCTATGTAAACTTTCCCAAATTACTAATCCAATCACATCACGAAACTAAACAAACACGACCATAGCTCATAATTATTCCCAAGCAAAGATGCCCTAAACTCTGATAACTTGTCCATTTCACATGTTGCTGTTTTCACTTAAATTCTGATGTATATTATAGATGCATATCTATTAACATTTTTTTTAAAAAAAATACCAAAAAAATTGCATCAAAATTT